TCCAGGATAACGCGCGCCCTCATACCGCGCGTCTCACGCTCGATACAATATCAGAATTGGGGTGGAAGGTACTAAAACACCCCCCCCCCCCCTACAGTCCGGATTTATCACCCTGCGACTACCACATGTTTGGACCACTGAAAGAAGCCCTCGGAGGTCAAAGATTCAACACCGACGACGAGGTAGAGGAGTTCGTGCGCACATGGCTGTCCGAGTTGCCCAAGGAATTCTTCGATACCGGTATTAAAAAGCTTCCGGAGAGGTGGCAAAAATGTGTAACTAGTGAGGGGAATTACCTAGAAAAACTGTAAATTTTTGTAAATATTTTCGATAATAAATAAATGTGTCAGAGCGTTTGTCTCGATCATATTTGAACCGCCCTCGTATATGGTAGTGCGCGATATTTGAAGTATGGTGTACCGCATTCATATTCATCAATATCCAATGACCACGAATAACTTCCTCCCAGCAAGCGAGGTTCACCCACCCTACCGGCAGGGTGGTTGTGGAAAGAGGGGCTGAAGGCACCCAGTGCACCCCCCCCCCCCTCGCTTGTGTGTTTATGTGTGTGTGCGTGTGTGTGCGTGTGGGCGCGCGCGGCATTTAGCCGATTATTTGAAAACAGAGAGTTATGTAAAAACATCCTCTATACTGTAACCACCGTGTGTCCGTTTCCTACTGTGTCCGATCGTGCCTGTGTCCGTTTCCTACAGTGTCCGATGGTGCCTGTGTCCGATTCATTCATCCTGCTGTCTGATTTATTCTGTGCGCAACTGAAACTCACTCAACCTTTATTCCTTGTTAAATATATTTATGTATTTTATTAAGGATAAATATTTGTACATAGGATATAGTATACTAAACTTTTTTCAGCACAATGGAAAAAATATATTTTACAAGTTAATTTATAATCTTAATATCTCTATCTTAATATCTCTAGACATGTTATAATACGTTATTATTATACAATGTTATCTTTTACTGATTAGGTACATGTATTAGTTATCACACGTATTATAATAAAATACAGAAGCTCAAAAATAGATATAAGACTGAAACCAGCTAATAATCCAAGTAAACCGCCAAATGATGCTGTAAATATTAATAAATATTAATTTATTTTATATACATAAGATTTTCTACATAAGATCTTTTACATAAGAATTTATCTTACCGAAAACATTCCGCCAACTATAATTAACAGATCGTCGATATTGAAAAGCGACCAAATCGTTGAAGAATACGTGTATTACACTATGATTACGTATGCTGGTAGCGTTACTGCAAAAATATAACGATAATATTATTAACATACGAAATATATTTTAGTTAACATGTAGCTAAGAGTAGGGTACACAGGGGGATTCTAACCCGGGAGCTCCGAGGGGGAAGCGGGGAGAGGGGTACCCCGTGGCGTGGGGAGAGCGAGGAGGGGGTACTCCACGGCGAGGAGACCGCGGGAGGAGGGGAGCACGTATCACACCTACTGAGTCACATGTAATAGATATCACCGAAGATGTTTTGGCACCTTTTTTATTAGCGCTGACAAGACTGCTGTGCATATTATTTTCCGCGAGATGAGACAAAGGATCGAGCGCTGATACATTGTTTTTGATTAGAAGGTAAATAACTCACTTTGTTCGATACTATTAACTATTTAATGAAGCGAAGAGCGTAGAGCATCTTTCCGCACGTGTTTCTTTTCAGTCATCTTTTCATTCCCTCTTATCGTACACAGAGTGCCTCGCAGACAGTGTGTCGCGCTCACGCGACACTCGCAAGGCTACCAATAGCTCAAAATTTTGAATGTATGACTACGAACATTCCGCCTCCCTTGAAAGAACCCTATCAATGACTGAATATAATGCAATGCAAGTAGTAAGGAATAGAAATGACAAACAGTAGTGTAATAAAATTTGAACTAAGATGAAGATTATAAAACACAGATGATGACGCGAGATGAGACAGAGGATCGAGCGCTGATACACGGCTTTTGACAGAGACCTTATTCGCTAGATGCTGACCTGTCACCTACTGCGTGACATGTAAGATATATCACCGGAGATGTTTCGATACTTTTTTTATTAGCGCTGACACCTGGATGCGCGTATTAATTTCCACGAGATGAGACAGAGGATATGGGTGTGATGAAATCATACATGTATTCGTGGAATAGAGATTTTATT